CATTCATGCCAAGAATGATTATAATCTGTCATATACAAAATTTGATGGAACCAAACAGCTTCCCTGCTTTCTGTTTTTGTAACAGCCTTTTAAAGTAACATGTGGTAGTACTTAATTGGCCTTCTTAATCTATGCCATAAATGTTAGATACCTCAAAGGAGCTCTTGTTCCTGATAGTGGGGGTCCTGTGACTGCTCCTGAAGCACCTACTGGTCGTCGAAGGGATTACATTCCTTGTGTTGATCCAGGGGCAAGGTTGCCTCATATGATTGTAAGAGAACTGTCAAAGTTTACAAGTGAGGTATGTACTCAGTTAAGTACTTTTCTGCTTTTTCTGTATTTTTTGAGTCTTTTTTCTTCTCCGTTTGTCAACCATGTTAGTTTTTCCCATTTGTATAATTGAGTTAATGCTATGGCAGGAGACAATTTCTACTCTTGATCTTGTGTCGGTTGACAGAGTTGAGTTCCTTCTCATGATAGCACCAGTGGAGGAGTCCTATCATTTAGCTCACGCTGCATTTAAGGTGGCAGAGGAATTTAAAATTGTTATTAAGGTGTGTGTATTATGGCCTGCTGATATGGTTAATGGAGTTCAACCCAACAGTGAGGCAACATTAACACCTCGGAAGAACTATACAGATGTCGTAGAAGTTAAAAGTTCACCTGATTCCTTATCATGGTGGAGAACTTGTCAGATGACTGACAAAGGAGCCATTTTAGTCAGGCCTGATGAGCACATTGCGTGGCGTGTGAAGTCAGGTGTTGTAGGGGATCCTATTTCAGAGATGAGGAGTGTTTTTGCCACCATATTAGGAATGTAATCAAACAATATACATCACACATTTAAGTACAGGCAACTTGAAATTCCTGCTTAGAGTCTTTGAAGTTTAGCATGAGATCTCGGCTCCTAGATCTGAAGGATACCTGCGTCAGTAAGTACTGCTAATGATTCCTTGGTATTAATTATAGCAATAAAACGTGAGAATTCTTCATTCTTTACAGAATTTATGATAGGTGTAGGGTAGAACCATGCTGAACTCAAATTTTAATAGGTATAATCTTCATACATTTCAAAATTTGGATGTATAGTAGAGAAATACAGGCAACTTATGGCTACATATGAAGAATGTAATGCTTGTCCTTCGAATTGTCAATTGTTGCTAGATGATCTAAGCATTTTTATAATGAAAATACGATAATGTTGTTCTACTTAGCTCTTCAGATTGCTTTCTCTTGACCCTTGCCAACATAATCTAGATGGAAACTATTGTCTTTTGAACATGGAAACGCGTATTACAGGAAGCCTGCTGGTGTACTGTACGGCTTGGCTAGTGCATCCCAGCCTCTGAGTGGCTAACTGAACTGAAGTTTCAACTGCAGAATCCAGAGATAGAGTGACATGATAAAAGTACAATTCATGAGGGTTTGATGAAGAACAAATTGATAAGATTTTGCTAGGATAGAGACGGCAGTTGTAGAACTAAATGGAAGTATCAGAGAAACAAGTGTATGTATTTTGATTGGATCGAGCATATGTCCAGGCGCCTCTACATTTATTTATTTATTATTATTATTTTTTGTATATGTTGTGCATTTTGATTATATCAGATTTGGCAATCAATTCAATTACATCTTAGATTCTTGTTAAAAGATAGTTTAATTCAAGAATATGTTAGTTTTGTATACATTAGTCTCAGAATTCAGCTCATGTCAACATATCTGCAATTTGCAACTCTTTCTTGCAGCAATTGGCAGTAAACGATCAGAGCTCTCATGAGCTTCAAGATCGACTACTAGTCAAGGTAATCACATGGCTAACAACAGATGTAACAATTCCTAGCAATGAA